AAATTATTATGTATCGAACCATAAAAAAATTCAAGTCATATAAAATTGTTTTATAATCTTATAATATAAAAACCAACATATGTTCCGACATATTAGTTAAGTTTCTCTATTTTTAATTTTAAAGTATTAATTGAACTTATGTTCACTAATTAAATATTTTTAAAATAGTGCATTTGACTCACTTAACATTCCTCTACTGGTTTATGAGTATCTTATATTCTATGTTTTAATATACAGGAATGCGTTAAATTTAAAAAAAAAATTGTTGCTATTATTATACAAGAACTATAAGCCGTTGTATTTCCGGATTAAATAATAATATACAGTATTTCTACTGAGTTGTCACCAATATAATATTTATCTCTTAGGTATAATGGTCATATATCCCGCCTTTCTAAAAATTAAATAATATACTAACAGTTAACAATTCACGAGTTAAAAACATTTTTATATTGTAGTTTTAAGTAATTTTTTAAACCAATTATAATACTGATACAGGAGCTATGATTCTCTGATGATAAAGAAATTAAAATCGAAAAATATCCCTAAAAGTTTTTTAAAAACATCTTAAAAATGCATTTTTATATTTAACTACTTCATCTTTGTCACTTAATAATCAGGGAAACGTATATTTAACATTCCAATACCTGTAATCCTGCAGAATTACATTGGTAATTCAATTAATTAAATGTACTATGCAGTTAATTGTTTTTGTAATTTATTTAAATATTAATATTTAGATATGGGGTAGAAATTAGGGCATTTTTCTTAGTGGGCGCGCTTAGTTATTTAAATTAGAAGTCTTACTTTTTCATAAAAATAAATTATTGTTCCTTGAGCTTTAAAAAACTAAGGCCGGCTCTCTTTTAAGACAAGGTCATATCTTGAATTAATCGAAGTTTAGTTTAGTTTGATAAACTTAAAACATGTTAAAACCAAAACCAAAAATAACTTCGTAAAAAATGTTATGATGGATAAAAAAACTATTTAATTACATATTAGTATAGATTTTTTTTTTAATCAAACAATTTTTTTTCCTTAACAAACATTTAAATGTGCAATAAATTTCAAAAAAATGAGTATCTTGTCCTTAATGAATTATTCCATATATAAATATAAATACTTGCATTACAATATAAAGAATTCAAAATTTACTCATTGCTAAAATAGAGTAATAAATTATTAAAATTAACAAAAGTAATCCTAATCATATAGTACGCGTGAGCAAAAGAGCAACAGACATTTATAAAGCTGTAAAAGCCGTTTTAAAAACACAATGTCGTTTTCATTATAATTCTTTAACCTCGTGATGAAAAATTAAGAAGATCAAAAACAAATATAATATTACATTGGTACTAATTGTAAAGTGATAACTATGTATTCTTAACTGATCGAGGGATATTTTGTATTTATATTATTATTTTATTTAAGACTTCAAAAATCATACCTGAATTATTAATTGTCCATTTTTACTAATTTGGCGGCTTTTATAAAAGTAAACAACCGAACTTTTATTTAGTTGGTTTAATTTTAATTTTATCTTTAAGTATTTTGAGCATTAAAAATATTTTTAATTTTCAAAAGTCGATTAACCGCTTTTCTAATTTTTAACAACAACATTAATAATCACTCAGATTGGATAACACATAATTCTTCGGGATAATTTATAATTTTGGAATAAAAAAATAGGTGAGAAATCTTCTTTAAAAAAATTATAATTCCATTTTTTGACGTTTTGTTTTAAATATAATTATCAAAACATTTCATTATCATTCGACTCTTTGTGTAGGTGCGAAATTATTGTTTTCACTTTCGTGCTGTGGAAGTGTAGGCTTGATCAGACAGCAACTATCTTGCAGTGTAGATGTGAATTTTCTCATCACAAAACGACTATAAACGGCCATTGTGAGTATAGAAACAAACCAGAAACCGAATTCGTTTCCGGCCTACATCCTCAGCGCAACTATTCGATTGCGTCATACGAACAATCTACGTGTTTTAATTGTTTCGTTGTATGCACACAACATAATAGTACATAATTATGTTTTTCAGACCGATTATTAACAGGAAACTGAATAATTTGATGGGAGTATAGTTCCAAGTCTAAAGACAGAATTCATGTAATAAGTACTTTAAACAAAGTTAGTATACTATTTTGTGACATAATGTAAAACTGGTCATAGCTATACTATGTAATTACTGTTATAGTTTAATACGTCGTTCAAGCCATACTTAGGATTGGTCTTCATCGATGACTATAACAACCAAGTTTAGCTGTATATAGTCATTCTAATAACGAAAACGTGGTAGTAAACACGTGTAGTCAACACATAAACCGGTAGACTGACCTAATCAAATACCAGTTATTATTACATAAAAGACACTAGGTCACATTAACTTAATAGTAATTTTTATTGTAGTATTACGGTTATTGTGTTTGCACGTGAATAATAAAACAGTTTTCACACTTTCTGTGTAAAAATAAAAAGCAATTAACTTACTTGAAATTGTCTTGCCTAACACCTAAAATTTAACGTTTAAACATTTATTAAATCGAGTTTTATTTAAGTTGAAAATAAAATACACATGAATCTACACATCTACTACATGTTAAGAATTTATCTGAATAAATGACGCCATTAAACCTAAGCCTAGTTAACCAATTAACTTCGTTATTACCATCTCAAATTTTGTTTTCCAGTAACCCTAGAAATTACTTGTTTATAATTGCTATGAAAATTTCAAATATTATTTTAGTATATTTGTAGTAGATATAAATATATAAATGTTAGTCTGGAAGAAGTAAACTTTAAACTCCAAAATTTATAAAGCCTTAATATGAATTCGCAAGTAAAATTTAAAGACGAGTAAACAATTATTTATATAAAAAACTCGGAGGTTGACATTTATGTCAACTTGAATTTATGTGAATTCTAAAAACAATGTTATTGAATGATCCTCAAACATATTGATTCTACACAAAAACTATGATTCATAAGAATTTATAACTAACTAATAAATAATAGCTCGATTTTTGATTTTTGTTGTACAATGGTGGATTTTCTTCAAAAGTTTTGTGGAGAGTGTCCGACCCCCTCTTAGACGTTCTTTTCCACTACCAAAACTATATCTAATGTGTGACATAATCATAATTTATATAGTAAATAATTAATTGCTAACCTTCCGCTTATAGTAACAAATCCTATCATTTGGTTAATTTCTTAAATAAAGATCCCCATTAACGTAGGAAATGTTTAATTATAAATAGGTCAACACTCCATTTATCAATTGTGTTTTTGTAATATGTACAACTTGAATTATAATTTAATTTTTTAGTGAATTATATTTTTGAAATTGCTATTATGTTGACATAAATGTTGTTGCAGTCGTTATTCATTATGTAACTAGTTTTATATTTATTACAATACTTTTTATTTTATAACTCTATATAAAATTATATCTTGAACTAGATATACGAAATTCAAAAACTGAGTAAATTAAACCTCTTCCTGCTTTTTTTCAGCAATACTGTTAAAACTAGGGTAGTTTATCTAATTATTTATTTATTTTTTAATTTATTTGCAAACTATTTATTTACAGTCGTTTTTTTGAATTGAATTTGGGAAAATATATGAAATACAGCTTTAACATGATTTTTCGTAAAATAAATTGCACTAAACATTTGTAAGATGATCACATCAAAAAACGGATTTAATTATTTTCATTTTTTGTAACAATTTACCTGTTTCTTTATTTACTGAACACTCTGTATATTATTCAGATTATGTTATGATTTGTAAAAACATGTATAATTCATACGATTATTCAATAGTACATTATATTTCAGTCAACAATTGCCTTCTAAGAGACAAAATTCTCATGTTATTTCGTACAAATTTAGAGTATAAATATTTCATTGAAAAATTATTTGCATAAAAGTTGATTGATCAAATATATCAACACTGAACATTTGACTACTTAATTTATATTACAGTTAATATGAAATAATAATCACATTTTCCAAATAAACAAATCAATTCAAATTATGTTTTATTAAAAAAAAATTTAGTAACATTTAAAAAAGAAAAATTACCATCAATACTTTTTAAAACAATTCACTAGTTTAGTCGTAAAAAAATGTTAAGTACTCTTTTCATGTAGTTTCAATTAATAAAATAGTTGAAGGTTTTCAACGGTTTCCGTCTAGAATACAAGGGGTTATTTTTAAAATATTTTGTGCGATTGAATATTCTTTATAAAGTTAAATAACAAAGGCATATTAAGGGGGGGGGGGCGATATCGTCCTTTTAGATCAGCGCTATCAATATTTTTTAAAGCCGATATTTACAAAATTAGTCTTCAAATACTTTTTTTAGATCTTTAAACAAAAAAAAATTATCTAGCAAGCTTTGACAAGGTAATCAAAATAAGTCGCTCCCTAAAAATGAATCCTAAATACGCCATTATTGAATACTCGTGTGAAAATTTGAATGTCTCTAAATTATCGAAAACTGTCGAGTGTATTGTAAAGTATATAAACAAATTGGTTATAATCTTCCTATTACATGTTGACCTGTGTATGCGTATTCCATAGCCCCAAGAAACTCTTATGCATATTTAATGGCACGTAAGCGATGGCGATAAGTATGCCGGAGTTGTATAATGTCGAGGATCGTCTAGCAAAATAACAAACATCACGTAACGCCTTTCGCAGTGAGCACGTGGGCGAAGAAATGAATGATAAAGTCCAAATTTTGTGCACTTGCACTTACAATGTATTGAATAGTAATCATCGAGTATTGGTGAAGTAGGTAATAATGACAAAGTGCTGAAACTACTGTGTGCATAACTGTAACGCCACACTAATAAAACAATGTTAATGATTAAACCATAATAGCAATACGTTCCGGCAGTAAACGTCGGCCACATGGACCAACTGATGACTGGCCCAAACGCCGGAGAAAGGGAAAGCGTTTTGCGGTGTGTGGCCGCCACTGGATATCCGTAAAACGATGCACTCAAGTTTCTGTCTGCGCTTTGAGATACACGTTTATGTCGCTTCGTTCGTTTCCGGCTAATCGTTTGTAATCAAATTTTAATATTGAAGTTTTTTATGTTATTTTTTCACAACATCACCCGACTAGTGTATTTGTGTATTCATTTATTGTCAACTAGTAATATTTACGAACACGTACAATATTGTGATCTGCGCTTCGAAATAATCGTTTAATATTTTTGACTTAGACTTTATCGAAATTCAGTAAGTACCTTTAAAAAATTAATTCACTTTGTTCAGTAGAAACTATGTATAAAGTAATTTTTTAAGTCAAATAAAACATTTTTATTTCGCGTCCCATTTTTAATTAATACTGGTTTAGACATATTTTATTTATAATTTTTAGTATTAGCTTTTGAATTAGCCGTGTGTTGAACAACTTTTTAAGTTATTGATTTATTTTTATCACTTATACGTTTTCTGAAATATAATTTCTACATACATAACCTACCAATAGTTGTTGATTTTAGTTTTTTTGAAATGGATCAATTGTCAGTCTTGTAATAATTTCATAGAAAAATATATCAATTTTTTTTGCTTGTATTTTTCTGCACAAAAATTTGATTCTAGTTAGATGCAATTAGTATATGTTTTAATATGTGCGCCGTTATTGGGTAGATTTCTCTGACCTTTTAATAAAATAATTTTTATTGTAACGATAATCAATAATTCATTTTTAGGAAATTATTTATCTCCGACATTTTTATATAAATTTAATAGAATCAATAGTTTTAATTCTATGTGTTTAATAAAAAATTATATGTCTAACCATAAATATTAAATTTTATTTTTCAAAAGTGACAAGTTAATCGAAATAATTCATTTGAAGTTCATAAAATTGAAAAAATTTTATAATAGCATAGTAAATTTTCCCATATTGATATAATATGTATTACCGTATTACAAAGTTGTTACAAGAGGTTTTAATAACTAACAGCACCTACGATAGAAAATTAAAACACATACATTATTTTTTAAAAATGTCTAAATATTAAATGTAGCATACAATAAAATCGAATAAAGATAATTATTCGTATTTTTATACAATCTTTTAAATTATTTATTTTAATACTTCAATTATAGATAATGAATTTTAATCGAATCACATTTTTTTCATTAAAATTAATAGTTTCTTTTTATTTTATTTAATATTTCCTCGTTTGATATTAATTATGGATATGTCAATTTTTGTATAATATTTTTACTATCTATCATTCCTGTTATGATAATAAATTATAAATAAACTACTTGAATATACTAAATAAATAACAATATATATTTACAAATTTTTTATTACTTCTCCAATTACTTTTTTAAAAAATACAAAATTTGTTTTAGAGTTATATAAATTCTAATTAAAAAATACGTAGTTCACATAATCATTTATTCGTGAAGTATATATACGATATTCGATTTTTACATAACAGTTAGTACCTATAAATAAACTAATAAATATTCAGTAATGTCTCCTAATAAGTGTGACAAAAAGCATAGCATTGAATGTATTGCTTCTCAGAATAATTGCGACTTTCAACAGTCATATTCTAATGAGAAGTGTTAACAAATACTTTAGGGTTACTAGATACTTATGGTATTGTCTATTCATATTATAATTTATATAGCGTTATAGTTTGTAGCTAAAATAAGCTTGAATAGTTTTAGTTAGCCCATGAAAATTTATAAAACATAAAAAAATGGATTTCTCGTATGAAATGAATACTAACTACAGGGCCAATACTGTACATAGGGCCTAAAAATATATTTTGAAGACTGTTGTTTTGCTTGTCATCCATGTTAAATTATTATTTTCACTGAAAAAAACAACACTGACCGTGTTCAGTTGTAACATGTTTTATATTTGTAGTAGCAATATGTCGAAAAAAAGTTACGACTTAAAACATTTATTTAAAACAATATTTCTTCTTCCATAATAAAAGTTCTTAATAGTAATCACATAATTAAAAAAACATTTGTTTTTTTTTTACATTTTACTTTAGATACATAGTAGTTAAAGATACTCTAATTATCGAGTTGTTGTAGTTCTGAACCAAGGGTTGATATTATTAAAACATTTAAACATTAAACATCTCAGTATTATATGAAATATTAATTAAATGTGCCAATATTTTAAGTGCAAATATTTAACAACAAAAAAATCTTATATTACTTCGGATTTTAAGTTATCCTAAGGAAACGTATACTCACTCGAAAATAAATATAAGTTGCAAATTAAACAATTTTAAAGTCTATCTTAGTATAATAAACATTTTAAGACATTATATTAACAAAATGATACATAACTATGAATTATATATAAAGATTATCAACCTATTACTTATTATGTCAAATAGTGCCGGCGCTAAGTTTAAGGAGCAAATAGTAATTCTGCGGCCCCTATACCAAGAGATACGGGGGCCTCCATCAGGTAAGAAATATTTTCACCATCAAGTGAAAAACCAATTATATGATAATAGTGGCTTCAATGACGTTTAGGATTGTTAAAAAAACTTATAAAAATAAATAAACCTGTTTATATCCTTTAGACTAATATAAATTTTGAAACATTAAACACATTTTAATAAAATTTATTTTATGTACGATATGTTTATAAATTGTGATTAATATAATATAGTATTTTCAAAAACATATCTGACACTTTTAGGCTGTTTTTAGGGATACTCAATGCGAATGTACTAATTGCAATAGTTCAAAACGTTTAATTAAAATTAATGCTATTGATGCGTAAGCATACTCGATTTTTCGTGTTAGCAATACTCTTTAACCCAATGGGTTTTACACACAATACTATCGATGACAATTCGTTGCTTTCAAAAAGTAGGAAACGGCACATTTGGTTGTAAATAAGCGCAAACGTATCTCGCGAGAATTACACTTGGTCGATAACCATATTGAAATTATGTAATAATTGTGTATACAAATGTATATGGAGGTCATCGGGCAGACGATGCGACTAGTTATGGTCGCTGAACGGTTACTTAAGTGGGAACCGTAGGGGTCAGCCAGACTGTGCCGACCGGGTGAAAGTGTATCCTTGGATTATATCATTATTATTATGTATTTTTTATGTGTATACTTTTTTTCCTATGATCGATAACAGTAGTACGCATATTATATTATTGAATTGTAGTGATTGAATTGACTTAGTTCCATTTGTCACCGAGTGACGCAATTTTTGATTTTACTTGGGAACAATAAGTAGTTATTATTAATAGTAATAAGCGAACAAATGTACCATACTTATGGAATTGCGAAAATCTTGGGAAAAAAATATTACTGTTATTATTATAATATTTTCATGCCAATTATTTTAATTTTTACAGGTCTTGAACAATAATCTTCTATCGAAAACTATGTAAAGAAGCCGCTGTTATCGTGGAAGACAAACGTTAGGGTAGTTTAGACAATGTGTATCGTTAGAAACTCCGAAAATTCGTGTGTTAGAGCAAATAGACTTTTAGGTCTCTTAGTAAAATGTTATAGTTTTTTTAACTTTTAAACCAATAAATAACCAACATTGCTTAATTTTATTGTAGAATCAGTGCTAACTAGTAATGACGCTATAGTTAACGAATACGAAGGATATGATATTCGCTTTAATTGCAGCCGGAACAGCTTTAAAAGCTGGCCTAACAATAGTTGGGACGAGCGTTTGGCTGATACCGATGCTTATTGCTGCGATGGCTTATTATCGATATGATCTTTATGATCCAGAGTCTCGAACTTTCAACCAAAAAATACTTAGACGGGAATATGATTTTATTGTAGTTGGTGGAGGATCTGCTGGAGCTGTTGTCGCAAGCAGATTGTCAGAAGTAAGTTAAAATGATATAAATTCATTATTAATAAGATTGTTTTAAATCGTTATATTAAAAAGATTGGACATTGGAACGTTTTGTTGTTGGAAGCAGGACCAGATGAAAATGAATTAACAGATGTTCCTTCACTCGCAGGTTATCTACAACTATCACGTTTCGACTGGCAGTACAAAACTGAACCTACTGGTAAGTAATAATAACACTTATTATACTAAACATCAAGTCAAAAATTTTGTCTGAGTAGTCTTAAGCAAAGAATATTATTACTATGTAACAAGTTCAAAAATATTGATTTTCATAATGATAACATATTTAAATTAATATAATGTAATTTAAGTTTATTTCCATTAAGATATTACATAAGAGAAAAATAATTATTTGTATAAATGTTAGTTATTTATATTATTTTATAGTTAAATAACTGCACTTTAGCTATTCCACGTGGCGTTAAATATTTAATAAATAAATAATAATTCTCTTAAAAGTATTTTCTTAATTTCAATTTACTTCAGAATATATCCTTTACCAAAACAAAAAAAAACAAAAAGAATTCATTTTTCATTACCTTTAAAGAAAGACCAGGCATTTTTTTTACTCAATAAAAAATTAATTCAGTAAAACTATTAAAGTTACATACATTAAATTTGTTGTTAATTTAGTGGGTGGAAAATATTTTTTTTGTTTCAGATATACTGAAATACTTTTTAATATTTAATAAAATTTTTACCAAAATAAAAATATACTATTAAATAGATAAAGGAAAATAAAATATTTTAACACTTTAACATACAAATAGAGTTTAAACTATTTAAATTTATGACAAAAATTTTTTATTATTTTTTTCGTTTTATCAAAACATTAAGTGATTTCGTAAATTTAAAGCTAAATTTAATTTTTTTAATTTACTAAAGACTACATATTCTTGTTTAATATAACCAAAACATTATTGTAAAACTCGTGTAAATATTGTAGATATCTAAACCAATGACCTGTGATGCTTTGGTTATTAAAAAAACAATATGTTGGAATCTTTTATCTTTTATTTTCTGCTTTTACAAAACATTTTAAGCAGCTAATTAAATAAAATTAAAATTTTATAGGTAAAGCCTGTCTTGGAATGAAAAATCATCGATGTAATTGGCCAAGGGGGAAAGTATTGGGTGGGTCTAGTGTATTAAATTATATGTTATATGTTAGAGGCAATCGGTATGATTATGATGGGTGGCGAGATTTAGGTAATGAAGGTTGGGGTTATAGTGAAATTCTTCAATATTTTACAAAGTCTGAAGACAATCGAAATCCGTATTTAGCTAGACCTGGATCACCCTATCATAAGACGGGTGGTCTTCTAACAGTACAAGAAGCTCCTTGGAGAACTCCATTGGTACTTTCATTTGTAGAAGCCGGTCAAGAAGTTACAGGTTATCCAAATAGAGATATAAATGGAAAGCATCAAACTGGATTTATGGTAGCACAGGTAAACAAATTAAAAAATTAAATCATAGAAGTTTGGCGTGGTCAAGCCTATAAGTTAACCGTGGCTAATACAAAGTATTACTGTTTTAAGATAAGCCTATGTTTAATTAAATTATATATTTACTAAAAATTCAAACAACAATAAAATACGGATTCATTTAAACATCTTTATTTTCTTGAAATTTTTCTGATAATTGCTTTTGCAAAGCTAGATAGATAGGAAAAGTAATTTGATTTTTTTTTCAATCCTCTCCATGTATAGCAAATTGAAACAAGTATTACGATTAATAAATTAGATTTTTGTCGATTAAATAATTTTATAGCTATTTTCCAAAAGTCTCATTTCAATTTTAGCAATTAATTAGGAGAACAAAAACTTTTTAAATGTTCGATGATATCTTATACAAATCATTATTTTTGAAGTGTAAAAGATAAACCTTCACAATAATATTGATTATTCATTTTTTTCAAAAACAACAAAAAACATTATTGTTTCTATAAATTATGAAAAATCTTAAAATTCACTTTTTTAACTTTATTTATAACATTTTTTTAAGATATATCCCTTATAATTGTTTAAATTCACAAATTATGTTAAATTTAATCGTGTTTAACGTTTTCTCTAGAATAACACATAAAAAACAAATTCACGTTATATTTAAAAGATAATATACACAAATTATTTTTTCTAATTATAACATCATTAAATATTTAATATACACAGGGGACTATTCGAAAAGGAACTCGCTGTAGCTCAGCTAAAGCATTTCTTCGACCTGCTAGGCTCAGATCAAATTTACATGTTGCTATGCAATCTCATGTTACTAAAGTCATCATAGACTCTACGACAAAACGGGTAATTGGGGTACAGTTTCTACGTGACAGTCACATACAGATAGTTTACGCGAAACGAGAAGTAATCCTTTCAGCTGGTGCTATTGGTAGTCCACAACTCATGATGTTATCAGGAATTGGACCACAAGAACATTTACAAAGATTAGGTATACCAGTAATTCAAAACCTTCGAGTTGGTGACAATCTACAAGATCACATAGGCCTCGCAGGATTAACATTTATTGTCGATAAACCAGTTGCTATTGTTCAAAATAGATTAAGAGTAAGTATGTTTATTTATTCAATAAAAAAAATGGTAGCACAGTGGGATCGCGACACCGCGTGGACCTAACATAGTTGAAACAAGTATAGATAATATCTAACAGTGATTAAAATCACTATCATAAAAAGCGCTTTGGTACAGATCTGATAGTGGTTCATTTTAAGAAATTGATGGATTATTACAAAAACAAAATTAATTCCTATTTATATAATTATATAAATAATTCGAGAAAAAAGAAGAAGATCTATATAATTATAAGCTGATTAGTAGTTCTTTAATTTATAAGTATAATCTTCTTCTTCTATTTCTTCGCCTTTAACCCAACTTCTTAAATTGGATAATGAAATATCAAGTAGTAAGACATAGCTATTGGAAATTTTATTTATTTAAAATAATTTAAGAAATACTATTATTTCCAAAAAATGGCTTCAGAAATGAACAAGCTTAATTAAGCATTTAATGATACTTGATTTAAATTTGGCAATTTTAAATCNTAATAAAAATTGATCACTTGTGGCTAGTTAATTAAGTAAAATTAAAACTATATTAAAAGTATTATTAATTTAAAAAAACTAAAAAATATTAAAAATATTAAACTCAAAAGCCACAAAAAAATTAATGAAAAGTCGCGGATACGTATTTCGGAAACAATGTTACCATTATCAACGCTAAACACATACTGACACCCCGACTAGAAAAAACTCCCTTATATACCCCTAGTGACCTTATCACCTAGTGACGTTATCACTAAGTAATATTATCACATTTTGCCAGTTTACACAAGTTTAATAATGAATTTTTCAGTGGGCCAAGATCCCAATTAATTAAATTGTTTTTATTTTTAAACATTTCTATTGCTTCTCTGATATTAAGTTCTTTGTAATTATTTACGTTTTTAATTAGTTTTATGGTTTTAATAGAGTGATTATGTGTCAATAAATGTTCGGCCACTGGAGATTTCTCAATTTCTTGATTTTTAATATTTCTTAAGTGCTCTTTAAACCTGACCCCTATATTTCTTTTTGTTTGTCCTACGTAACATTTATTACAACTTTCACATTGTATTTTATAAATGCCTGATTTCCCCCCTTCATCTACCTTATCTTTAGGGTTACCTAATAAATCTCTTAAATTATTACTCTTAGATGTTACCAAAGTAATACCAAAATTCTTAAATATTTTAGTTAATCCATTTGAGATGCCCGGATAAAATAAAATTGGTGATCTAATTACTTTTTGTTCCCCCTCGCTGGAGAGTGTACTAGCTGCCCTCCTTTCTTTTTTCCACTTTTGTTTTCGGACTAATTTCAAAATTATGTTTTCGTTATACCCATTAAATTTAGCTATTTCTTTTATAACCACCAATTCTTTATCATAATCTATTTTATTCATCGGAATATTAATTAATCTGTAAACCATACTATTAAAAGCTGACAATTTGTGTTGCCAGGTGTGGTTCGATGTGTTCGGAATGTATCTGAACGTGTGTGTGTTTTTCCGATAAATTTCAAAATTTAGTTCCCCCTCTGTTCTTTTAACTAATAAATCCAAAAAAGGCAATTTTCCCTCTATTTCTTGTTCATATGTAAATTTAATCGATGGGTAAAAAGAATTTAAATGTTGTATGAAAACCCCCATATTAAAATCTTTATTTATAACTGCAAAAATATCATCGACATACCTAACCCAAATTTTTGGAAAATCACCATAAGTGTATTTTAAATTTGTTTCAAACCTACTCATAAAAAGTTCTGCTAAAAATGGTGATAGCGGATTTCCCATTGCTGTGCCCTCAGTTTGCTCATAAAATTTATTTTGAAACTGAAAAACATTTTGACTCATACATAACTTTGTTAAATTAATAAGCTCATTTATTTTATCCTGTTCAATGTTTTGGTCCTTTAGCCAGTCTTTAAGAAAATCAATTGTTATATTTATTGGAATATTCGGAAATAAGGCAACTACGTCAAAAGAAATTAACCTGTCATTATTTTGAATGGTATAACTAGATAATTGTTTAACTAAATCAATATTATTTTTAACTGAAAAACTATCGAATTTTTTGAAAGATGAAAATACCCTTACTAGGTGTTTAGCCAAATTGTAAGTCGGAGCATTAATATTCGACACAATAGGTCTCATAGTACTTCCTGGCTTATGTATTTTTGGCAAAGCATATAGTTTAGGTATTTGAGGGTTTGAAATTTTAATGAAAAACCTGAACTTTTCTTCGATTATTAATTTTGAACTATTTATGACGTTTGTAGCCTCCCTTATCATTTTACTTAATGGATTCTTTTTAATTTCTTTATAAGGACCCTCTTGAATCATTCTTGATACTCTTTCATAATAATCTTCTTTTTTTAGTATTACAACAGAATTCCCCTTATCTGCCTTTAAATAAAAACAGTTTTTATTTTTTAAGTCTTTTATGAGTCGTGAATGTTTTTCATTTTTTCCTAAACCCCCTTTATTTATAACAGAATTTTTTTGTAGAAAATTTAAACACTCCCTTCTTGCTAAGTCTTGATTATTAAAATCAACACTTTTANATCTAGCTAGATAAAATTTATGTACCTCAGATGTATTGATCAGTAATATGGGTTCTGTGAGAGTTGATATTTTTATGAACAGATAAAACGTAAATCAGTGCCTTCTTACCTTGGATTTTTAGTTTCGATGCAAAACTAAAAATTCAATCAAACTTTGTTAAAAATCTATTCAGCGGGGGTATTATAATTAAGAACCCATTGTTAATTTCAGGTGAAACCCAAAATCATATTTTTAGAAATTATTTATACAGCTATTAGTTACCAAAAAATTCGGAATAATATAAAATGGTAAAAGAGTTTTTTTTTTTTAATTAATAAATTAAATTAATAAAGAAAAATTATTTAAATTTGTAGTTTTAACCTATTATCATACCAAATATATATTGGCAATATATACTTTATTAACATTAAATACGAGTGAATTTAATTGACAATATGGAGAAAGTTGTCTAATTAATTTTTTAGTTGATAAAAGATAAATTTTTTTCAATTCTTGAATGTAATATTGATTGATTTAATTGATGAAAAATAATGGTCATATAAAATATAAGATATACAAATGACAGATATAAAAAAACCACTTAGTAAAATTAAGTGTAGACACAGTGTCTGTGGTCCTTTATTGATTGTTTTGAATATCTATAATATTTTTATTGTTTAAATTTTATGAACTCAATTTTAATAAAAATCAAACGAATTTTGAATTTTTTTTCCTATACTCAAAATAAACTAAGAAAAAGATCAAAAAAATTCATTTTGATGGGCGAAATTCAAACCTTGTACCACAAGCATGAAAAAATTTTATGTTACGCGGTAATCGAACATTTAATTTGTTAGTAAATAAAATTGACAATTTAAACTAATTCAAAATTTCAAAGTTGCTTTTCTTTAAAAAATTAAAAAGTATAAAATAGGTTTAATTTTACATTATTGTTAATGAGATTTTTATGAAAACTTTTGGCCGCATTACTATAATCACCTCTTGTAAGGTAATTTAAAATAAATGCCTAGTTATAGATTCTTTTTAAAGTAATAATGGTATAAAATTTACACATTAATAAATTCTTATTGAATGTTGATGAAGGGGTAGTGTGTTACCCCCTCAACCATTATTTATGACTTACTAACTAAAAAATTAGATAGGTTTAAAGTTCAAATAAATAATTTCGAATGAAAAATTAGGTGGGTAGGTCCCATAAATCCTATTATTTAATTATCCTATGTAGTTTAAACTTATTTCTTAAAAACACTTTCAAATAAATTTTTATTCAAGAATTTACTACGTTCCTTCACAAAAAAGTCGTACTTTGTTTATTAATTTTGCACCACAAAGACAAGTTCGTAAGACAANGTTTATTAATTTTGCACCACAAAGACAAGTTCGTAAGACAAAGTTTTTTTTAATAAACTATGTTACATTAACTTTAATTTGTGATATGAATAAAAGTGTCAGTATTTCTGGATCATTTTCAAATCTTTGTCGAAAATGTTAATTTTTGGTGCAAAAGTTACTATTTTGAATTCCCCCTGTGTTAGTTAAAAGGTCAGATTTTCAAAAAAATATCCCAAATGATAGGAAAATGCTTAAGATCTATAACAAAAAAGTTTTCAAAATGTTGAAAATTGTAGATTTAAAAATAGTTTAAGTTTTGAGGGATTTCTTCCATATACTGGGTACTATGAATTCTTTTTTTTAATTTTTGAACGTAATTTCATTGATTAAATACGATTTGTGATTTCTTACCGCATTGTTCATTAAATTCGGTCCAGTAAAAACTAAGAATATATGGTAATAGATACAAAAAAATAAACACATTATAATAAAATTAATACCTTCTTAGTTTTGCATCGAAGCTCAAAACTATAGTTTTCTTTGCAAGAATAAAATTTTTTATCTTGAATTAATATAAATATTATATTTGAACTTCAGCCTATTGCTGTCACTATGGAATACATAGCTCGAGAAAGAGGTCCAATGACTACTTTAGGAGGAGTGGAAGGCCTTGGTTTTGTACCAACGATTTATGCAAACGATACCGATTACCCTGATATTCAATTCCACATGGCTCCTGCATGTTTATCATCGGACGATGGAATCAAAGTTCGTAAAATTCTGAATATCAAAGACTCTCTTTATGACAGAGTATATCGACCAATAGCAGATAAAGATGCTTGGACTATAATACCATTATTACTGAGACCAAGATCTCGAGGACAAATACGACTTAGATCTAAAGATCCTACAGTTTATCCATACATTAATGCCAACTATTTTGATGATCCTCTTGACGTAGCAACATTAGTCGAAGGCGTAAAATTAGCCATAAAAGTAAATATTTTATCTGCATGCTACTAATGAATTAAATATTTTTTATTATATACAATGAATTGATTTACAGATAGGTCAAAGTAAGGTGTTTCGACAATATCGATCAAGGCTCCATAAGACACCTTTACCAGGATGTATTCATTATGAGTTCAACACTGATGCATATTGGGAATGTGCTGTGCGTCATTTAAGTATGACCATATATCATCCTGTCGGAACATGCAAAATGGGTCCTTCAGATGATCCAACAGCCGTAGTAGATTCAAGACTGAGAGTATACGGAATACAAGGGTTAAGGGTCGTGGATGCATCAGTTATGCCTACAATTGTAAGCGGCAATACTAATGCACCAACCATTATGATTGGTGAAAAAGCATCTGACATGATCAAACAAGATTGGCTTAAAGATAATCGATATTCAGGTTGATTAGTTAAAATAGATTTGAAATTGTATAATTTTAAAATCTTTTTTCAACTGTGCCATTTGCAGAATATTAGTATTATATATTGTTTCTCAATTTTTTAATTTTAAGTATTGTTGTTACCATTCTATATATAAATGTATATATATATATATATATATATATATGTACATATATCTGAATAAATAGTTTATAAACTAAATAAACTACAGACATGTGATTCTATTTATTAAGAATATGTTATAATTGCTTATTATATACTTATTATTGTTTTAAAATTAATTTTACTTTTAATTGTAATAAAAAAAAAACACAATTCAAAATAGGCGAATTGTAACATGTTATACAAAAAAAATTTTAGACTATTTACACCAATCATTAAATTGGACGTTCAAACTTAATTATCGATTTGAATATATAATGAATCGAGAAAAAGTAATTTTTTTAACTATATTATATATTATATTATACTATATTATATTATAATTATGATCTTTTGACGTATCATTGAAAAGAGATAAGCTAAAAAAAATTGTGACAGATAGAAAAATAAAACAAAAAAATCATAATAAGATTAATATCTTCTCAGTTTAGTATTACTAATACAGATATAACAGAAAAATATGCACAAGTATTACAAAAAGTTAATAACGTTAAGATACTATTAATAATAATCAAGGGACACCAAGAAAAAATGTTTTTGTTACATTCTATCGATAATAAGTTATTTTACAAATATTCAAATTGTCACTAAAATATTAAAGAAAAAACTTTGAAATAATTATAATCTGCGTCAAATAAAAAAAAATGTTTAAAACTATTCAATGACCCAAATTTTTGTCGAACTGTGTAATATAAAAAACATTACCAACGAGTATGTCCAGGTTAAAAATTACTTTGTCGACCCTAGTAAAAATGACAAAATAACTATTACATTGTTAGCACTGTTAGTAGATAATTAAAAGTCCTTGGTTTTTTTAATCGAAATGACAAGCCTTTTAAGTCCATAGTATACATGCGTTCCCTTTATTTTTCTCTTGTTCACTCTTTGCTTGAATATTGTATAATTATCTGGTACCCATATCTTGATAAAGACCAGTTGTACTAGGAAAGTGTTCAAAATAGATAATTATCATTTGCTACTTTTCAACTTAAACTACCTAAATCAGACCATGACTGTAGCAATGCTTTATATATCCCATCAATTCTCTCTCGCCAATCAGATATTGATTCTCATCTCTTCGATCTCCTACTGAACGGGTCTATTGATGCACCCGTTCTTCTATCTTATATTCTCATCTGGATTCCTCATAACATTCGTAATCAATGTTCTTTTAGCTTCGATGCAAAGCTAAGAAAATATTGGTTTTACTATAATGTGTTTTTTTTTTGTGTCTATTACCACTTTTTCTTAGCTCTCACCAAACCGATTTCTTTCAGCGATGCGAAAAAGATCACAAATCATATATAGTCGAAGACAATATTCTCAAAAATTGAAAAAATTTTCCTCGTTCGCCATAAATGGGGGAAATCTCCAAAAAAATTACAAATTTAAAAATCGCTAATTTTTGACATTTTTAGCTTCGATGCGAAGCTGAGAAGGTATTAATTTTACTATGATGTGTTTTTTTTTTTTTATGTCTGTTGCCACTTTATCTCAGTTCTCACTGTACCGATTTCTTTCAACAATACATCAAAAGATCACAAATCGTATCTAGTTGAAGACATTACCCTTAAAAATTAAAAAAATTTCCCTCGTTCCCCAATGGGGGAAATATCCAAAAAAATTACAAATTTAAAAATTGGTAAATTTTGTCATTTTTTTTCACTTTTTTTTCTTAAAACTTCCATAACTTTTTCAAATATTAACAAATCAAAATAATATTTTTTTAAACTAAAACCTTAGATATTTTTCTTTCATTAGATATCATTTTTTTGAAAATCTAACATTTAACCTGCTCATTGGGGAAGATTTAAAATAGCAACTTTTTTACAAAAACTAATTTTTTAAACTTAATTTTTGAAAATGTTCCGGAAATACTGCGTCCTTTAAACATATATCAAATTAAAGTTTTTTTTATGTACTACAAAATGAAAAAAAAAAATTTGTCCCGACACTTTATCTTCTGCATGTNAAAGCTTATTTTATGTACTACAAAATTGAAAAAAAAAATTTGTCCCGACACTTTATCTTCTGCATGTAAACGGCTACCGTAGTTAAAAAAACGCTATTTTTGTGTTAAAATTTTCGATTTTCGATTTTAAATTTTCAACTAAAAAGTGCTATAACTTTTCGAAAAAGTATTTATCAGCACAAATTTTTTTTTTCTAAATACATTATAAGTACATCTTTCATTTGACATACTTTTTATTAAAATTGGACAATTTCCCCATATATAGGGACGTTAAAAACTTGAAATATTGTATAAAAAATAGAACTTTTTCGACTTAACTTTTAAAAGTGTTTCGGAAATACTGCGTCCTTTAAACATACATAAAATTAAAGCTTATTTTATGTACTATAAAATGAAAAAAAAAATTTGTCCCGACGACCTATCTACTATGTGCAAATTGCTGTCAAAATTTAAAAAAAAATGTAATATTTGCGATAAAAATCACCTTCTATAAGGAATATTTTTTGTATTTAAAACTGCCATAACTTTTTCAAATATTAACAAATCAAAATAATATTTCTTTATATTGAAACCTTAGGTAATTT